GGGGGGGGGGTGAGGGCTACATGGGAAGGCGGGGATGCAGGAGGGGGACAAAGAGGCATCGCTCTCCACGGGGGAGCAGGATGGGGACCTGGGATCGGGGGGTGCCATCTACACGGCTGGATGAGGGGGGCTTGGGATGGGGGTGCCACATACGTGGCTGGACGAGAGGGGCCTGGGATCAGGGGAAACCACGCATGTGGCTGGATGAGGGGGGGTACCACCTATGTGGCTGGATGAGGGGGGGGTACCACCTATGTGGCTGGATGAGGGGAGCCTGAGATCAGGGGAAACCACGCATCTGGCTGGATGGGGGGGTACCACCTATGTGGCTGGATGAGGGGAGCCTGGGATCAGGGGTGCTAGTCCAACTCCTACTCCCTTCCCCCCTCCCCCGCAAAGATAGAATACAGTCATTTTCAACATTCTTGATAGATGGATTGGGTATTAAACTAGAATTTACAATTGTGGGAGTGTAATGAGTGGTCTAGGGTTGGCTGCTTTAACAGAATGATAAATACCAACTATTATGGTTTCAACTGGATGGATGATGTCAGTGTGAATGGCTTCTACCTGTCAGTTTAGCTTCCCAGAGTAATTCTTCTCATTGATCTAGCTTGGTTTCATCCACCCCCATTATGCATGCAAGAATCTAAATTGTCACATTTGAAATGGGATCCTGTAGATCTTTCAGCAGCAGGTGCCTCTTTGCATCTGCAAGGAAGGGACTGTTGGCAGAGTAATGCCCCAATAGGTCAAGTAGGCAATGTCGGAAAAGATTTTGTTTCACCCAGAGGAGAATGTGAGGCAATAATCTGTCCATGGTTGTATCCTGAACTAGCCTTTTATTTCTAAGATTTCCCACTGTTGCTACCACCGGTGCAGCTCCATCAGTGGGAGCATTAATATAATCCAGCATTTTAACCCCAGTGTCATTTAAATTTGGTGGTCTAGGCAAACTGCTAGTTTAAAATACCAGTGTCTGGTCTATATTAGAGCTTCTACTATGGCTAACAACAGTATAATTGAACCACTGGAACTGCAGAAAAAGAAGTAGACGAGCTTGCAACAACACTGAATGTCAGTAATGTCTAAGAAATGACATCAGCAGAGACTTGCACGTATGAACAGATGGGGGGTAGCACAGTTGTACTTGAGCATTAGTCATTGTGGTTCATATTAGGCACCTTAGTCTTAAACCTGCAGTGTTTGAGGCAGTTAAATACACCTCTACCCCGATATAACGCGGTAAAGCAGTGCTCCGGGGGTGCGGGGCTGCGCACTCTGGTGGATCAAAGCAAGTTCGATATAACACGGTTTCACCTATAACACGGTAAGATTTTTTGGCTCCCGAGAACAGCGTTATATCGAGGTAGAGGTGTATAGGCAGGCTTTTTGTGACATAAAAGAGAGATATAAGTACCATGGAAAACCCAATTGTTCTATTTTTTCTGGTTGTCCTGAGCAGCAATTGGTGGGGACAAAATTCAACACCTGATCCCCACTCAAACACATCACAGCCCCACCGTGGCCACTGTCAACACCCAATGATGGCTGCAGCCCCTTCAGAGGAGTTTCAGCCACTAAATCCACATAGCTGCAGGGTTTAAATAGTCTGGAAAACCACCCAGCTGCCCTTTGTACAAGGGAAATTTCACTGCCCAACTATGCTTTTCATGGGTTATGAAACTGGTCCAAAGTCTTCCACTCTCTACGGTTTGATCAACCACAGTAAAAAGCACAATTCTATATTTTTTCTTTTTAGGATTAAATCCAAGGTGAAGGAGAATGTCAATAGTCACAGTACAGCTTGGTCAGTGTGGTAACCAGATTGGTTATGAGGTGTTTAATGCTATCTGCAATGACTTCCACAGCACACATGGACTGTGCTCCAAGAAGGAGAATGAATCCTATCAGGAAGCTTGCAAGGAACGTTTCTTCAGTGAGGAGAAAACTGGAGGTACAATTTTTAAGGATTTTTTTTTCATAGCATACTGAGCCTGTTAGAAATAAATAATACTTTGCATTTCTACTTAAGGATGTGCTTTAGGTATATTCATGAACTTACCATCTCAGCCCTGTTGTCATCAGCATTTAACAAATGGCAAAGTAGACACTGAGAGGGGAAGTGACTTGCCCAAGGTCACATACCAAGTCAGTGGCAGAGCCGGAACAGCTCCCTGCTGTGCTGAACCCTGATTCTGTGCCTTAATCCCAAGCCCACCTTTCTCTTTCTTACAGTAATAGAACTATTGCAGTGAGCTTTGTTTTTCTTGTTTTGTGCCTCTGATTGCCATCATACATTCATGAGAACTAATAAAGAGCTTTTCTAGATGAGAAACGTTTTTTTTCTTTCCAGATTTCTGTTTATTACACACGTTAGGTAGATCAGATTAAGTACTGGGGCATGAAGCCCGTCCATTTCAAATGCTAGCTGACATGAATGGTTTCCCTACTGAGAAGGACTCCTGTCTATGTACAGTTTGCAAAACACTTTGGGATAATGAAAGGTTCTATGTAAATGTAAAGCTTTGAGAGTTAAATCCCGCTCACCTTATTTTCATGTACTGCCCCCCTGAAGTTATTGGGATGATTTGCATGAATAAGAGAAGTATGATCTGGCCCTTCGTATGTTTTTATGCCCATTATGTGAACATTGTTTTCTTGTTAAAAGGTTTAAGTATGATGCAGTCTTTTTGATTTTGCATTTTTCCCCCTCTCTCTCCAGTACCTGTTGCCCGGGCTGTACTTGTTGACATGGAACCTAAAGTAATCAGTCAGACCCTCTCAATGGCTGCGAGGTCTGGCCACTGGAAATATGACCATCAGTCACACTTCTGTCAGAAACAGGGGTCTGGAAACAACTGGGCAAATGGGTATAAATGATCACCGCAAGCTTTGCTAATAATAATACAGCATGTGAATACTAAGCAACTGCCTAGATTCACAGCCATCCTCTCTTAGAAGCAGAACTGTTGCTGCTGTGAAGTAATACACTGCATGCATAACATTACCCTGATTTTACTGCTATTATAGACTGCTTGTGCTCTTTTTGCAAGGAACTGAGATTGGTATTAACAGTGAAGACCTACTATTCAATTACAGAAAAGTGAACAAAATGTCACCTAGACATCTAACTACTTGATTTGTGGGTGCAGAGTGGGAGGCTAATTTTAAAGATCGGACTCTTAATGCAAAATAAATGGCACAACAGAAGAATTGAGGATTGTTCACTACAGGCAGCATTGGTGATATAAAGAGTTAGATAAACGGATCGGCATTTTTAAAAGAAGGAAAAGCTACTTTATATGTTTGTGTGGTTGACTTTAGATGCTTTTGTTTTGCTATAAAGTAAGAGTTCTTGCTCTTTTTGCTTTCTCTCTTATGCTGCAGTTACTCTGTTCATGGGCCCAGGTACAGAGATGTTATCATGAACCTGGTACAGAAAGAAGCAGAGAAATGTGACCGACTCAGTGGATTTTTCACAGTAATGAGCATGGCTGGTGGCACAGGATCAGGCATGGGAGCCTTTGTGACCCAGTGCTTAAGGGATGCTTTTCCAACCTCATTTATACTCAACCAGGTTATCTGGCCATATGGAACTGGTGAGGTGAATGTTAAAGCTCCATGAGTGTTCTGCAAAATTTTTAATCAGTATTAAAAGGCCAGGCTAGTGATAACAAAACAAAAAAAACCCCTACACTTGCTTTACCTTCTGGTGTTACAAATAACACCTAAAATGCCTATAACTGAGATATATTGGAGAAAGGGAGAGAATTGTTTCTTTACAGTTTATTTACTTTGTGTATTTAATATCACCTTATGTATAGTCAGTTTCATTGTTTGCCTGCAGTCAGTTGCTGTGGGTCTTTCAAAAGTGAAAACAAAACATAACTTTTAAAATGTGATTGTAAAACGGCACGTCCCAACTATGAGACTTATTTCACTAGTGCCTGAGGCTAACTTAGTGCGTATAAGGCCCCCATTGCCATAGTATGTGAGCACATCACAATTTTTCTCCATGTATTTATCGTTTCAACATCTCTGTGAGGCACAAATACTATTATCCCTATTTTACAGATGAGAACTGAGGCACAGAGAGACTGGGGGCTAGTGTACACAAGAAAGGCTTTGCCAATACATCTGTAATAGAGACACAGTTTATAACCAGCATAAGGAGATCTTTTGCCAGTATAGTTAAACTGCCTCCCCAAGCAACATGACCTATGCAGACAAAAGGACCTGGGGGCAGGGAGGGAGGTTTGCTGGCATCGCTATGACAGACAGAGGTGTGAATTTTTCCCCACACCCTGTACTGACATAGC